CTAACAACTGTGTAACCATCTATAGACTCTTATTGCTAGCTTGGTTAATTAAATCCCGAGTTTCATAGTGATCTATGATCCTGTTGAGGCCTGTACTTTGAAACTTCCCAAGATTCAAATTCTAAAAAAAAGGCCTTTTGATAAATTAGGCTGGTTTATGTGGTATGTTAAGTTACTTGGGAAGCACGGTCAAAAACTTGATAAACCTTGGGTTCTGTTGTTTGGATAAATGCTGTTATAACTGTTGTAGAAATTATGTGAAATTCCTAAAGTTTTACTGTGTTCTGGTATGAGGTCATCACTGGACACCCTGAGCTTCAACACACAGCAGCCCCTAACAGGGTTCCCTTCTGTTCACCTCCACGCCAGGCACTCCGGACACAATGGCCCTGGTGTCTGCTGATTCCCGCATCGCGGAACTTCTCACGGAGCTCCATCAGCTGATTAAACAAACCCAGGTAAGAAGCTGCAGCCCTTGGCTCCTGGAGGGCGGCACGCGAGCCGCGAGCTGCGGGGCATTCACAGACTTTGGACATGCAGGGACCCAGGTGACCGATGAACCAGCAGCCGAGGAGAATGTGGGGCGTGACAGCCGGATTTTCTGTTGGCAGGCAGGACATCGTAATCCTCTCTGTTCCATGACGGCTACAATGAGCTAGGATTCACATACCGTACAGCTCACCCATTTGAAGTATGCGATTCCAGTGGTTTTTAGTATATTCACAGAGTCGTGCCACCATCCCCACGATCAGTTTCAGAACATTTTCATCATCTGACAAAAATGCCCTGTACCCGTCATGGTCCCTCCCCTTTTCCCTCCACCCCCTTATCCCAGCTGAACGAAGATAACCTTCGCAGGCCGGATAAGCCAAGAGGTTCTCTCCCGGGAGCTGGTCAGGGGCCTCGTTTGGAAGGCGCAGGGTCTGAAAACACAGGCCTGCTGAGTTCATCTCTTACTGCACAGCCGCCCCCAGCCCGGCCCTTGGCCTCCACTCCCTTGCAGCAAAATGGTAGCGGGGCCTCGGTAGCCAGTCGGGACAGCAGCCGCCTGCCCGAGACAGCAGCGGCGTGAGTACGAGTGTGGGTGGGACTGCAGCAGCCGCCAGGCCAAGGAGAGACTGCAAGGGGCACTCAGTCGGTCCCGCAGAGCCGGGACCTACGCTTTCCTAATTTATACTAGTCTGATTACCCGCTTCCGCCCTTCATGCAGTACTGTTCATGCCTTATAATAAATTTGTGTAAAACTGTTCAGCATAGAAATTAGCTGATGGTGAGCTAAATCAAGTTCTTCCTTGGGCCAGTCGTTTCCCGTCGGCGTTCCCGTCTGAGGAGAATCTGGCCCCAGTTCCCCCCACGTTTGCTCATCAATACCAGTATCAGCGGATGACTTCTTGACGGGGGGCAGCTGAATCTTACTAGCGTTGCCGGTGTGTTACACCATGTTCAACCGCGGTCATGGTGGAGTTCAGTTTCATTACAGAACAAGTTAGTGAGAATTACAGAGCTATTTGTTATGCCCTCCCAACAGAATTGGCGTGCCCACTTACCAGATATTGTATGGATGACATTTTTACTTTACAGTATTTTTACTTCATGATATTTGCTTTATTCCACTTGGCCACGATTCAGTTATTTCTGGGTTCTGAGTCAGCTGGGGACAAAGCCAGTCGCCCTGTCCCAGCTCACAGGCTTGTGCTGAGACTGCTTTTCATTGTGTGTTCCATAGCAGGGCCCACCTCCTACCTAGGGGGAGCCCCAAATGGTACCCAAAATAACAGTCTTATCTCTGCCAACTGTAGCTCAGGATGTCTTATTTTGATCTGTTCTTGGGCCAGGGCAGTCATAGTGCATTAATATAAATTACAAGTGGAGCCCAGTGTGGGGCTTGAACTCACGATCCTGAGATCAAGACCTGAGCTGAGATCAAGAGTTGGACGCTTAACCGACTGAGCCACCCAGGCACCCCCACCCAGGTTACACAAAGACCCATCTCTTGGAGCCATACACCATGCAGTCCTGTGGCCCAGAAGGGAGCAGTCCTGGAAATGCCTTCCCAAACGATGTCCTTTGTAGTGGGATGTAACCTGAAAAGTAAGGGTCAGAAGATACTGGCATATACGTATTGCTAGCGCCTCTGGCCTGGGATGCCGGGGGCCACGGCAGGATAAAGGGCCGCCCTCATGCCCTGTTGACCTTATCCCTGCAGGAAGAGCGTTCGCGGAGTGAACACAACTTAGTGAACATCCAGAAGACCCATGAGCGGATGCAGACAGAGAACAAGAGTAAGTCACTGGGCTCAGAAGAGAAAGGGGAGGAGAAAGGGGGGTGGGCTGAGACCGGGAGCGTGGCTATCACTAGTTTCAGACAGGACTTTTGCATGTGTCTACATAATCCAAAACGAACTGCTCCTTAGTCAGTTTTCCCTTCGGCTGAGTGACCTAAGGTGACCCGGGAAACAGATGACAGACCACCTAGCGCTAAGGAACCTTAAAATCCCCCAACTCTAGAGACTGGGAAGTCAGTGTTAAGGCTGCATCCAGGGGAGCCCTGTTGAGTGCACAAGCACCCCAGTTACCTAGTGTTTTCTAGAGAGAGAGCTTCCCTCCCAGCATCCCCTGCACATGCCCCAAAGCCCTCCTGCTCAGCCTCCTGGGTTGGTGCTTTCCAACTCTGAGCAGCTTTGAGAACTGTTTTCTGTTTTCCTGTGTGCTAAGAAATAGTTTCTGCGTGTGTCATGCTATGGCAAAGGCTAGAAAGTCCTCTGCCAAATGCGTGATGGCATGTGAACCATAGGAAAACGTGAACTCGTTAAACCCGGGGCATCGGCCTCAGGGCACTTCGAGCCAGCAGAGCTCACGTGTCAGTCCGTGGCCTCTGCACGCCTCTCGGGTGCACAGAAGCAGCTCCACAGGACTGCCAGCCACCCCCCTGCCCACCCTCTTCCTCTGCTCACTTTGCAGTCTCTCCCTATTACCGGACAAAGCTGCGCGGGCTCTATACGACCGCCAAGGCTGATGCGGAGGCTGAGTGCAAGTGAGTCCCGTCCCCTCTCCTTTGTCACCCACCCGTGTGCTGGGCTGCCGGAGCCTGCAGACCCCAGCCCCCGCCGCCTTTCCTGCCACCAATAAGCAGATTCCCGCTCCCCAGGCTGTCCCTTGGGGCCCCCGCTTTCCCTAGAACCCACTTTTGGGCCTCCCCTTCCCACTAGCCCTGCTGTTTCCTAGATGGCAGCAAGGTGGGGGCCGGACCCCGGCACAGCCTTTTACTATCAGGTGACCTGGAGCAGTCGCTCCCGCTGAGACCCACTTACCCCATCATTACAACAGGGATCATAACTGTCTACAGAACTGTCAACATAACACGAGATAATGTATATGAAGTGCCTAAGACCAGTGATTTTCACACTCTTTTGACTATAACCCATAGTAGGAAATACATTCTCTGATGTGGCTTCATCATGATATTAAGACCTCTTCGTCATCTCTGTACTACTACCACTAAGGACTCCTGTGCGGCCCTACTGAGCCGGGTGCTATTCCAAGTACGTTACGTACTTATCTCATGTAATGCTCAGAGCGACCGCAAGGTGGACGTTACCCCCATTTTACAGGTGAGGACACTAAGATACAAGGGGTTCCATAATCTGCTAAAAGTCACAAAACTAGTAAGTCGGGGAGCCCTGTTGTAGATCCAAAGTCCATATTCTTTAACACCATAATAGAATGGTGTAATGATCACCTTTCCACGGCACACACATATATCACAGAACTGGAACAAGAAGTACGGTTTGTACCGTTACCGTATATATAGTCGGGGATTTGTTTGTTTGTTTGTTTTTAAACGTTTTTTTATTTATTTGACAGAGAGAAAGACAGCCAGAGAGGGAACACAAGCAGGGGGAGTGGGAGAGGGAGAAGCAGGCTTCCCACAGAGCGGGGAGCCTGATGCGGGGCTCGATCCCAGGACCCTGGGATCATGACCTGAGCCCAAGGCAGACGCTTAACGACTGAGCCACCCAGGCGCCTCTCTTTGTTTGCTTCTTATTTTGTGCATCAGATCTGAAATGTGTCTTGAGAGGACTGGATGAATGTTGCCTGACTCTTGTACTTGGGGGCTTCTCCCTCATTCGTTCCCACGTTGATAGCTATGATAACTGCCAGTTGTCTGTGGTTAGTCTACCTTGGGGCGGTGACTTTAAGGAATATTCCAAGCAGCTGCTGAAACTCCTTTTGTTTCGAAGAGGTTCCCCGAATTCTCTGGCCCGACATGGACTGTTTTCACCTTTTGTGGGTGGAAAGAAAATGTGTGTTTGTTCTTCTGTCTCAGCTGATGAGCTCTAGAACCCGGAGTCCTCTTTTTTCTCTTTGGGCTTTTATCCAGCTCCAGCCTTGTTGGCAGCATCCCTTCCCTCTCCTCGTGTTTCCGCACCACCCTAGGCGAGGCTTACATAACCAGCTCTGGTGAGACCTCCGTGCCTCCTGCCCTCGCTGTTTCGCCACTTCCTTATGAGGTTCCAACTGAAGCACCTCCTGAATCAGCATGAAGAGGTCCAAGAGTTCCCTTGGGCTTAACCCACTCCCTTCAGATTTCCCCATAGGTGCCCCGAGTAAAATTGACAGTGGGGAACAAATTGACTGACTGTTAGTGCCCACAGGTGCAGTATATTCTGTAGTAAAGCTAATTTAGGTTTGTTAGTTTCATTAAAATGGACGTGTCTTTAGAGTTATCAGCATTAAATGTAAAACTTTACTGAGGTTTACTAAAGGTCAGATAAGCTCGTGTTATCTTTGCTGCAGTTTGTCAGCAAAACATGATTTAAAATGATGGTTAATTTTACCCATCTCATAAAGCTTTCCTGGGTAATTGTTAAGAACGAGTAGGTTGAATAAAAAGGTTTCTAGGTAGGGGCGCCTGGGGGGCTCAGTCAGTTCAGTGTCCAACTGTTGATCTCAGCCCAGGTCTTGATCTCACAGTTGTGAGTTCCAGCCTCACACTGGGCTCCACACTGGACGTGGAGCCTACTTAAAAAAAAAAGTTTATAGGTAAAACTTTTAAATGGCTTTCAAAATCTTTAGTAACCTGAACCTTTAAAGTGTTGCTAAGTTAAACAATAAATTGGATTGAATTCATTGGCAATCCAAGTCTTGTCCCTAACAAAACAAAATATTAAAGCATTGTTTACTCAACACGGGTTTGTGCTTCTGGCTTCTTATTGCAGAGAAACTGACAGAGTTGCTTTCCTTATTTCCATCAGGCTTAATTACATTTAACAGAATTTTAACTTAGAAACCTTAGTCTGAAAATTAAGTAGTAACCAATTGTGAACTGTCTGCTACACCAGAATTTCTTTTTTTTAAGATTTTATTTGTTTGTCAGAGAGAGCGAGAGTACAAGTAGGGGGAGCGGCAGGCTGAGGGAGAAGCAGGCTCCCCACTGAGCAAGGAGGCTGATGTGGGACTCGATCCCAGGAGGCTGATGTGGGACTCGATTCCAGGACCCTGGGATCTTGACCTGAGCTGAAGGCGGACACTTAACCGACTGAGCCACCCAGGCATCCCTACACCAGAATTCTTTAGCTTGGCAATTTATGAGTACAGTTCATAATTTCTAAAAACATATGTTTCCCCATAGCACAGTCTTTCAGTAAAGCAAAAGGCATGTTTACCAACAGACTCGACTCTGTATTTAGGAAAGTAGGAAATGTGTAAGGAAGGTATAAGAAATGAGAATACATTTTTTTCTTTTTAAAGATTTTATTTATTTATTTGAGAGAGAGAATGAGAGACAGAGAGCACGAGAGGGAAGAGGGTCAGAGGGAGAAGCAGACCCCCCGCTGAGCAGGGAGCCCGATGTGGGACTCGACCCCGGGACTCCAGGATCATGACCTGAGCCGAAGGCATTCGCTTAACCAACTGAGCCACCCAGGCGCCCAAGAATACATTTTGTTGAGGGGAAAAAGAAAGTTATTTTTGTCCCAAAATGAGGTTGGTTATTTATTTTTAAAGATTTTATTTATTCATTTGAGAGAGAGCGAGCACGAGCAGGGGGAGGGGCAGAGGGAGAAGCAGGCTCCCCACTGACCAGGGAGCCCAGTGTGGGGCTTGATCGCAGGACCCTGGGGTCATGACCTGAGCCGAAGGGCAGACGCTTAGCTTACTGAGCCACCCAGGTGTCCCAAGATTGGTTATTTAGAGAGAAAAGGCTTAGGACGAAATCTGAATGAAAAAGTTGTAGAAGGTGTGTGAAGGCAAATCTTTGAAAAGAACTTTGTATGTGGTCAGGACTAAGATTGAAATAAATGAATTTTTTAAAAAGATTTTATTAATTTGAGGGAGAGGGAGAAACAGACTCCCCGTGGGGCTCAATCCCAGGACCCTGAGATCATGACCTGAGCCAAAGTCAGACACTTAACTGACTGGGCCACCCAAGTGCCCCAAAATAAATGGATTTTAAAAGTACACTGGCATAAGATTGATATTCTGCTTTTCTCTCCGTTAAGACCATTTTCGGGGTGCCTGGGTGGCTCAGTCGGTTAAGTGTCTGCCTTCAGCTCAGGTCACAATCCCAGGGTCCTAGGATCGAGCCCCGCATTGGGCTCCCTGCTCAGCGGGGAGCCTGCTTCTCCCTCTTCTGCTCCCCCTGCTTGTGCTCTCTCTCTCAAATAAATAAAAAATCTTAAAAAAAAAAAAAAAAAAGACCACTTTCTTAGATTGTTGGTCTGCTCATGATAAGAAATTGTAAACAAAGGTTTGTTATTCTTTATGTGCCCAAAAAACCAAAGCTTCTGTGTTTTTGTCTTTATCAGGTCTTTGTACTTAAGAAAGTTAAAAGTTCTGGGCGCCTGGGTGGCTCAGATGGTTAAGCGTCTGCCTTCGGCTCAGGTCATGATCCCAGGGTCCTGGGATCGAGTCCCGCATCG